TGCACGATTATTATCCCAAGCCGCAGCGGGTACCGCAGCTACTATAATATATATAATATATATATAGCTATAATATATATTGATTCAATGTAATAATATTATTATTATAAGGATTATATATATATTGCTAATATAAATGACTAATACGTTTCTACGCAGTGTGAGGTTGTTGAAATCTTTTGCTGGGCAGTCACCTGTAGTACACCTCAGTCTAACCGCTGACCATGCGTCATATTTAACTGAGTGGAGACCACTCAAAATCTCCTTCGTTACGATGGCGAAAGTTCGCACTCTTGTGTTTTTACTGCTACAATGCGAATGAGCTACGTGTCGCAGTGGTAATTGCGTTGACGCTGATTGTCTATGTTTTTTGCAGACACGCTATGTCGATTCATCAATAGCAGTTGCTCGCCCATCTGTTCGCGTAGTTCATCGCCGGCTTGTCTCATCATTCGGTATACTACATGTACAAGGTGCGTTTAACTCGGTTCACACACACACGATACACACCACACGCACACGCACGCACGCACACCCGCAAGCGCGCGCACTCACCAAACAAGCGTACACACAAACACGCTACACACACACAGTTGCAAGGCCCATATGCCATCTCAAAGTAGCATACAAAATTCTACTTTGATATATATATCACTATGAAAAGAAAGATGGGACTCTTTCTACCAGAACAGGTCAGGCAAAGAGCAAAAAAGCATGAATTGTGTCAGTACCAGACGTGGACATTTTTATCGCCCAGTGAAGAGGTGTTTCCCGCCCCATCATTTATGGCTCTTTTCTGCTACGCAGACGATCAAAGTTTGAAGCCTCGCTACTGTTAATGAGCATGGCGACTAATCGATTAGCGCACATCGAGATGAGTGGACTGGACAAACCCGAAGAAAGCGGTTCATGTCCGCCGGCTCTCGGTAGTGAAGTAAGTACACGCAGGCCTGGCTGTCCCGATCGTCTGCCAACATATTACACATCATCCAAATCATTAAGATGGTTACAACGAGGAGCAATTCCAGGCGCATCTATTGGTGAGAGATAAAGTACTGTAACAAGTAGGGGATAACGCAATATAAGGTAAAATATGGATAGATATAACTAAAATCGAACAAAACCGTAATCACAATATCTACATATATCCCTAACCCTTACCTTTACTATAGCCCTTACCCTAACCCAGAGCCTTACCCTGGCGTTAATCATAACCCTAACCCCCCAACCCTTACCTTTACCCTGACCTTAAATCTTACACTGACCTTGACCTAGACCTTAACTCTAACCCGATGCATGAATGATTCACAACCGAAGCCATAACCCATAAAACTAATTCAACTAATTCGCGATTACACGACTCAAACCTTCAAGCTAAGCTTGCCCCGCGCCCTACAATCACGAAGCGTCCTCTATAAACATAATCCACCTTCTTACAGGGAGGTATCGAAAATGACTCACCGCACGCGATCGCGGTCGCGAATAAAGGCCTACCATCTAGAGCCCTCTATCGGCAAGCGCGCTCCGTCGAGCGGCTACGCTAGCTGCTCGCGGTCGGCGAAAGAAGAGCGGCTGGCGACATGAGACAGTTACAGCCAGATCTTCACGACGGTGCGGGATCGAGCGAAGGCCCGCTATGGTTGCCGCTGTGAAACATAATCAACAAACAACACAATGCAAACGTCACGCCACGGTGATGCTGTGAGTTTAATGACGTAAGTGAACAAGATGGCACACGAGCTCAGGCCCATAGAACTAGAATAGAATAAAATAGACTAGAAGTTCTATTCTAGTTCTATGGCTACGCCGCCGCGGTTGCTGCACGCTTCCGTACAGCTCAGACGATTGCCTATCGCGCGCGTTATGCAATGCGACGGGTCATTACGTCCAAACATTGGCTTGGAATGCGATTCCGGCGTAGACAAATGATGAAGCACCGCCATTTATGACCCTTAACCAGTAACATGAAAGAAAATAACAAAAGATGTAATATCCTTGAATTAGAAGAGATGTTGAAACCGATTATCAGCCAATACGAATATTACTCTCGTCAATTAGATAATTGGATTGAACTGCAGGTTATTAAAAATTTTGCAATATTGAACATATTAGACATGTCATACACCGAACTTTGATGCGTTTTTAGAATAAATCCGATAATAGAAGATGCACGTTACCATAATAAGAAAAAACGATAAACTCCAGATAATTTCTAAGAAAACCGATATTGGAACGGCAACATTGATAGTGTACGCATGCAAGGCTCGTTCATCGTGCCGGGGTTTCTCTCGCACGCTGTGTGTTTTGTTTGCAGAATGACAGGACTTGATCCCACCGATAACCTGAACAAATTCATCCGGCAACTAGCGCCGTCCGTGTGGGATCCGCCAAACATCTGTCTCGGTCTGGGAATATGTGTCGCAAAAGGCAGCCTCATTGTGTAATCAATCTAACTCTTCACTATGACAGATATCTTTTGCTTGCAGCTTCAAAATGAAGGTTATAAGCTACATATAGACATGTACGAGCGTGTGCTCGCTCGTCTGGCGCTGCCAGCGCGCGTGTCGTGTGCTGTGTGATGTGTATGCGTGTGCGTGCGCCCGTGCTGCGGTCGTGCGTGACTGCGTCTTGGCTGCGTGTGCGTCGTGCCTGTGTTGCGTGTGCTGTGTGCCGTTTGCGGGGGGGGGGGCGGGCGTGTTTTTTTTATTTTTGGGGGGGGGCGAGCTACCCCGGGTGCGCCCTCAGACTCGTGTGTTTCGCGCGCTGCCCGCGTGTGCATGTGACCCATTGCGTGTTATATGTGTGTGTGTGAACCTGACTGTGCTGTCGATGGGTGGTGTGGTGCTGTTATGCGTGCTGCGTCCGCGCAGTGTGCGTGTGCCGTGTGCGTCTGTGCGTCTTAGTGCGCGCAGCGCCGTGATGTGTGTCTGTGTGTGTGCTCTGTGTAATGTGTGTGCCTGCTGTGTGTGTGTGTGCGCGTGAGCGATGCTTGCACAGCACAGTGTGTGTGCGCGGCATGTGTGCGTGATAATTGTCGCGACACATCTGTTTAGGATATAATACGAGACGCCACGACATTCGAAGCTTGGACAATAACTTCAAGTACAGCTTTCTAATGGACCTTGCGTCGGGAATGGAATACTTGCACAAGAGCCACCTTCAGTCTCACGGCAACCTGAAGGTACT